ATCTTTAAAACTACTATATAAAGTTCTAACTTTATAAGAACTTTTCTATACTAAAATAGATTATTAAACTAGTCTTAGATTACTATTTAGCCCTATAAAACCTCCCTAGTAATCTCTATACTATAGTACTAAAAGATCTATTAGAGGAAGGTATTCTTAAAGTAAATAAATAGAAGATTAATAGAGATAATAGTAGTAATAGTGAGGTTTTTTAAAGTTATAATTTTAGCTTTTAGGATACTTAAATTAGTAAGGTAGGCCTTTTTATATAGAGGAGAGATTAATACTATTACTAATAATAGGGGTATTAAACTATTAGAATCCTTATCTAATATAAAAGAGATCCTATAGATATTATAACTACTTTAGCTTTATTAAAGTATAAATTATATAGATAGAAAGCTTATATTAATATATTAAAATAAATACTCTTAAGTAGTAGATATAGTAATAGTACTAAAGACCTATAGGGACCTTTTAGTATTATATTATTAGTAATTCTAAAAAGAGGTACTAGCTTAGCTTTATATAACTTTAATAAGGAAGTTACTATAATCCTAAATCTAATTAGATTAACTTTAATTATACCTCCTTAATAACTATAACTCTAATATATACTTCTTATTACTAATAATAATCTATAGTAAGTTATTAATTATAGAGGCTATAGGTATAATAATAGTAAGGGTATTTATAATCTATATTAAGATATATAGGCATAAAGTACCTATTAATATATATATATTAATAGTAGAAATAGTAGTAATAGTAGTTAATATTATTAATTTAAAATAGAGAGATATATAGATATATAAAAATAATAAAAATAATCTTAAGTAATAAATAACTTTTACTATTAATAGCTAATTATAATATTCTATATATCGTTTAAACTACCTTAATACCTTCTATAATCCCTAAGATTTTTAAGAGTATTACTTAAAAACTAGTATTTTAAGGGTAGTTTATAGAATATTATTAAAATATATAATTATAGTGATATTAGTAATAGTAGTATAATCTAGTAACTAGGTATACTTCTAAATAAGGGAATAACTAGGGTGTAGTTAGATCTATAGCCTCTTATTAGTTAGATCTATAAATATCTAAATTAATTAAGGTATTTAAATTAATTAAGGGGTATGAACTTACTTAATTAGGCGTGGCGATGGCCTCCCTTTAGTTAGATTTGCTTGGAAGGGTTAGTAAGTATTTGCACTTGCGGCAGCGCTGCGAGTGGGATGACACCAAAAGTCTACCGTTTGGAGAGCTCGTGGAATTCATGTCGGCGCAGCCCACGGCATACCCCACGGACGTGGAAACAGAAACACTCGATTCTTATTTCCCACTCATCGTCAATTCTCAGCGTGAGTCGCATGTTCTGATTGCACAAGATATCAGCCTCACTTCCTGTCGAGTTGAAGCCGAGTCGCAAGGAAGAAAATTCTGCATCGAGCGTGTCTCCATCGCAGACAACATCCAGGTATTCTGTGTCACCGTGCCATGCTCTTCTCGGTCTAGCTCCCGATGCAAGCATATCACAATGCACATTGAAAACGGACACGTCTGTTTGGCAGAAGAATTGCCATCCAGGATTCAACTGGACTCTTTCTATGTTCAAGGATGCTCCACAACGGACGCTGGCTCAAGTCAACATAGTGGAAGTGTGGTCTCATTTTCCTGCGCTCGAAGAAGCAAAACCCAAGGCTTGTGCCCTCGCCACACTGTGTTTGATCAGGATGGTCGGATAGAGTGTGCAATGAAGGCCGAGCTTGTTGGATCCCTCCAGGATCCGCATGGTGAGTCGGATTGCACATCAGTACGGAACGTGCTCCATCTGAAGATCTGGCTCCGAAGATGGCTGAAGAGCTTCCAATCCTAACCCTACGAGAAATGGTGTCTCGTTACGGTACAAACCAGCCAAAGGAAGAAGTGGAATTGTGTATTCTTGTCCGGCTTTTGTCGCTCATTGACGCAGGCGATCTAAATGCAGAGGAGGAATCTCTGCCTGAAGCCAAACAATCGGTGTCTCTTCTTCACCCATCCCAGACATTTGACGAGGACGCGGTGCCATGGCTTTGGGTAATGTGGAGGCTACCTACACATGAAATCGGAGTAATAACAGCTTTCATCAATTGTCCAACAGGAAGCTCGGACTTCAGTATTGCAATGACAAGATGGACCTGACAATTGTTTCGGCATCAAGTTGCCACAGCTGACTCTAGGTATGTGACCTGAAACGTCCCATGGACCCGCAACATCTAGCTGAGTATCAGAAAGATCAATTGGACGGGAAACGACTGCGAATGCTCTCTGGAATACACAACAAGATGGCTTCAGAGATCCGAAAGCATCGCGAGGAATGCATCTCCGCGATTGAGGACGGGTACCGTCCATGGTCAGTTGGAGAGGTCATGATATCCTCCTTCGCATTTGGATACATGACTCTACAGAGAGACACGTGGTTTGATTCACAAGGTAACCACCGCCAGCTGAACGACACCGATTTCTTGGGAGTAAACTTTGCCGACCTCAAGAAAAGAATCATATCAATGCAGGAACTAGGCGATTGGAAGGTCTGCACGGTTCCGATGGCCGACTTGATACCCACTCCGCTCGCGATGCTGGCAGCGCTAGTTCCTGTTGTTGGCGTTGGCTTACACAACGAGGGACTTCATGTGAGGCTCCATGGGGGATTCAAAGCCGAGCTGCTCGACCTTGTTTGTGAAATAGAAAAGGAGGGCTGGGGGATCGAATTGGCACATAGCGATTAACAAATACGGACAGGCGGCCGGTCTCGCTCACTCATTACCGAACAATACAGGCTCACATGTGAGTAATCCATGAATATCACGTTGCAGCCCCCAAAATATCAATCGCAAGCCCGCTGCCTACACCCGAAGTCTCATTCGTGCCATCCGGAGCAGAAGATTCAGCTTTGACCTACTCAGACCAAACGTTGGTTCCAGACAACAAGTCTACCGATTTCGATGAATAACCAGCCCAACTGTGTATGCTCTCAATGCAGTGAGATTGCGGATACAAAAAGGCTCATGAAGATCACTGTGCGGAAACCCAGGCTTCAGCTATCTATGGAAAAGAAACCGGGTATCGTAGGCTGATTCGTCTACGACACCCCTGTAACGTATCCTTTAGTATACCATGAAAAGAATAGATAGATTGACAAATTGCAGAGACGAAAAAACACATCGCAAGTTTCGCAACTCTGTCTTCGCTAGGTCTCATCTATTGTAGAGGCGGCAGAGGTGAAACCGATCAACAATGGCAACAGCATTGATTGCTCTATGCCTCAAGTGACATCTGAATTGGTCCTCCGCATCAAATATATCTGATAGCCTGTCGCTCTTGTATCTAGAAACTAGCCTCGCCGGGGGACAACACTACAGTACCCATCATCGAATGCCTGCACTGGGGTAAGTATAAGTATGTAGAGAATACAGCCCGACTTGAAGTGCAGCCACAAATCATACGTCAACAGACGCATGATGCTTGATCAAAGATTTGAACGACCTTCTTCCGCTTCATCGTGCTTTGAAGCGCGCCCCAGACGGCGGTCATTGAATCCAAGGTGTATTAACGCCGTCCAGCACCTCTGCTGTCGCTATATGATTGACCCAATACGCACCCAGGACTTCCATCATATTTGTGAGGTAGACTCACTGACATCTTATCAAGATCGATCAAGCGACGGGGATAATACATATCCAAGAGATCGGAACTTTAGACCACAATCCGAAGATCGCACTTTCATTCGGGCTTGTGTTGTAGATCTCAAATCCTTGCCACAGGCGCTTTTTATGCTTTGAAGCAAGTTCAAGCTGCATCCATATGCAGCTGTAATTCCAGGAAGTTCGAGTCCTTAGACGCCGCTTGACGCGGCCCATGGTCCAGCTGCCGAAGACGCCGACACGATTCTCGTACCTCCAGCCCGTCTTCTCAGCAATAAATAAGAACACCAATCCCTCGAAATATTTCGGATTATTAATGCTGTCTCGTTGGAACACTGTATATTGAGATTTGGGATGGTGCAGGCTGTTGATCCAGCTTCGCTGCACTTCAATGTGGCGGCCGGCGCGGGCCACAGCACATGGTTCCAAGTTTCATCCACTACTTACTCACTCGGAATAATCATCAGGCAGTTATTACCAACAGAATTGGCGGAACTCGGAACCAATGAGGCGCTGTGTACCACCCCCCTTCCCTATTGGGATGCCCCTTGTGGTAAACGGCTATTAGGAATAGTTGGCATCGAAAAACACCCCATCGCAGCAGTCCTCGTCAAGCAAATAGCATTGCTTGGAGGAATCTGTCATCATCTCCTTAAGCCTTAAATAGAAAATCCAATCCTAAGATAAGATCCACTGCTAGAGAGACGACATAGAATGATAAGTCTCCAGACCTCAACACAGAGGCGGTTGAGCCAGACGATACCATACCTAAGTCACAAGACACAAAGAGTGACTGAACCTGATGCTCAGGTTATATAATAGATGAACAAGTCGTAATTAGTGTTACCAGACAATGGGGGTCTTCAAAGGCAAGAAAACCAGAGCAGCCATGCTACTTATCCCGAGCCCTCCTAACACCACACCCCAGGAAACATCTCCCTTCCCTCAGGATCAAAGCCGAGTACTTCTCGTTTATCATCATTGAATAAGTGGGGAATAGCCAACGGTGATAGCGCCCAGGCAGGCTGAAGAGTCCGCGGTCACTCACAGAATGTCCCACGTGCCAGTCAACAACTAGCGTCTCGTCATCTGTAATGCCCATCGTCTTCCATTCACCGAACCACAGCTTTGGCGTCTGAAAAGCCTCCCTGTCTTGAGCAAAGCTGACTTAGGGTCGTCATAGACGCCACCCGGTAGCACTTCTCATGGAAAGGGACGGGTGGACCGTTAACAGAAGCCGCTCTCCAGCAATGGTTCAAAAAAGAGTCGAATTTCTATGCAAACCCACCCCTCTATCCCAAAAATCTACTGCTACAACTTCGCCCTCCCCTTCTTCCCCTGCTCCATACTCCTCCCCACCAGCTCCCACGCAAACTCCGCCAGCGGGCCGCGCGTGACCGCGTACCGCTTCGCCTGCTCACTGCTCGCCTGCCCCTGCGCCGCCCGCGCCGCGATCCCCTGCAGCACCGCCGACAGCCGGAACACGTTGAACGCCATGCCCCAGTTGAGCTCCGGCGCCGGGTCCCACCCGGCCTCGGCGGCGTACCACCCCACGATCTCCTCCACGCTCGGCAAGCCCGGCGTCGCGCCCGCGAGGAACCCCTCGTGCGCGTACACGCCCGAGTTGCCGCGCGAGGCCGTGAAGTACGGCGTCAGGAAGTTGCAGAGGTCCGAGAGCGGGTGGCCTACTGTTGACATCTCCCAGCTGTGTCTTTGTGTTAGCTTTGCACCCGTGAGGACTGTCCAAGGGCAACTTACTCGAGAACCCCAATGACCCTCGCCTCCGTTTTATGAAACACAATATTATCAATCTTGAAATCCCCATGGATCAACGTGCCCCGATCCCTCGGCTGCGCCGCCTTATCCTTGAAAAACCCAATCATCTCCCCAAAATGCGGCAAATCCCCCACCCTCTCCCCGGTCTCCCGATCCTCCGCCGCCGCCTGGCTCTCGCAAATCGTCGTCCACGTCGCAATCTGCCGATCGTAAAACCCGTCCCGCTTCCCGTACCCCTCTAACCCGACGCTCTTCGGGTCGACGCGGTGCAGCTTCGCAAGAGTCTGCGTCGCCGCGCGCCACAGCGCCTTGCGCTCCGCCGGGTCCGCGACCTCCGGCATCGCCGCGTCCTCGAAGATGCGCCCGTCGAGGAACTCCATGATGTAGAACGGCGTGCCGACGACGGCGTCGTCTTCGCACAGGCACAGCGCGCGCGGGACGGGAACGTCCGTCGGCTCGAGGGCGTGGATGATGCGGTGCTCGCGCTCGACCTTGTGCGCCGCCTTGGAGAGCAGCTTTCCGGGAGGCTTCTTGCGCAGGACGTAGCGCGTCGAGGTCGCGGAGGTGAGTTGGTAGGTCGGGTTGGACTGGCCGAAACCGAACTGTGGCGCGGTGGGTGGTCAGCGGGAGAACATGAGGAAAGGGGGTAGGGGGAGAGGTGGTGCTCGAGGATTGGGAATGGCCTCACGAAAGACACAATTGACATACCTGCTTGATCTCAATCGGCGTCTTGATCTCCGGGACGTTCTTCTCAATGTACCGCTCCAGCGCCGCCTGGTCAATCGGATGCCTCACGCGTCCCGCCATCTCGTCGACCGTCTGCGTATGGAGCTTCCTGGGAGCTTTCGGTTGGGCCTGTGTCGTCACTGCTGCTCACTCGGCAACTGTCTTCGCAATTCGTCGTAGGCAAGCAGGTACCAAAAACTCAAGACAGGGCGATGTCGTTGCTTAATGTAACAAACCCAGAACTTCAATTGGATGGCTGTTCGGACAAGAATCCCGGATACTGAGAACCTTCTTTTTTTCCCCTGGTCGCCCTTTGCCGGCCGTTTTGCGTATCCAGCCTCGGCTCCTGCCCAGCAAAATACAGTGACAGACACCTCTAGCGTGCGTTTGCTTATGCGAAAAGGGTCGGTCGGACGCGCCGCGGGTCGGATTTCCCAGGTCCAGAGACATGCCGAGGTCCACCGGCCTGGAGCTCCCACCGCGCTAAGCTGAAGAGCGGGGGAGAGCAACCACTGGACCACTGCCAGGGCCGCAGCAAGCAAGCTTCCCCCAGGTTTGGGAAGGGAGGAGAGGGGGCGCCCGAGCCCACACACCGCACACCGACCACTGACTGGCGCTGACCGACCGACCGCCAGCCAGACGACGAGACTGGACGACCGCGACGGCCACGAGTGCGGAGGCGGGTCTCGATAGCCGTACCCGACCGAGCCCAGCGCCTTCGTGAGCAATCATTCGACGACCCAAAAAAAAGTCTCCTGCTGCTGGTCCCCGGTCCCTTGCGGCAACGCTCGTGGTCCAGCCTCAAGCCAATGCCGCTGGCCGTTTGTCGACCATTTGAGTCAGGCCCGCGGCGTCGATTGGTCGTCACGTCCACTAGGACAGACCGTACGGGCCGTCCCTTTTCGCGACGACAATGCATTCACTGGGGCAGACATGTGCGTCATTCGCTCCGCAAAGGTTCACGTCGAACAAGGTGAAATCTGACATGTAAGTAATTCAATATAGTTTGTAGATTGCTCGCAAAGATCAAATAGTCGTAAAGCCCGTGTTTCTCTCCCAATTCCGAATCCGGCGACGGATTGCCAGGAAACCTCAGTCTATCCCCGTCAATCCATAGAAGCGTAAGGTTGAGAAGAAAAAGGGGTAATAGTTTGAGAAGGCGTTAAAATATAATCTTCAATCATTCTTCTTTGTCCCGTACATCAGATGCGCCACTGTTGGCGCTTCATTTTTCGTTTTGGTTTTTCTTTTCTCTTCATTTCAACTCCATCCCGTTTGGTAACCAGACCATTCATTTGCCCCTGCAACCATCATCCCCCGAGAAAGTGAACAAAAAGTCCCCATCCCAACAAAAGATTGTGACATGAAGTGAAGAATGAAATCAATCAAAAACAACAAGGAGAAGGGGGTAATCGAGTAAACACAAGAGGGGTATCCGTCGTTTCGAGTCGTCCATGCATTCTTCCCTCCCATTTCCCTTGCGGCCACCCGCCTGAACGGGTGCCATGCTGTTGCCAGTCGAGTATTTGTATTAGCCGAGAAAACGAAACGTGAAAAAAAGGTGTTAAAAGAGAATGGCCCATGCCGCAATGGCATCGACCAGGCCTGGCAGCCAGAGGGCAACGAGAGTCCTGTGTACCGGCCCGAATGCTGCATTTAAAGACGTCCATGGAACACTCCAACCCCTTGTAAACACACTGCGGAACCGTCTTCCATCGGACTCCCGCCGCCATTATAGTCCAATTTCGGAAAGAGTAGAGATGGCTGCAAGACGTATCTGTAGGCTGTCGTGACTTCGTGATCGGAATGCTCGACAAAAGAAGACCGAATTGGCGGCGGCGGAGCTCAAGACTCCTCCTCCTCCTCATCTTCTTCTTCGGGACTCTCAGATGCCGTCTTGGGCTTCTTGTTGGAGTCACCGTCGTCGGCCTCGGACTTCCTCTTTGACCCGGCCTTGGGGCTAGAGTCGTCCTTGGGCGCATCGGTGCCAGAAACCTTGTCACGCTCGATGGCGGCGACCTCCTCGGCTGTCAGGAAACGTCCTCCAGGTCCACGGGGTCTGCGCATGGCGTGGTTGTGTCTCGACTCATGGAGATACGGCTTACGACCCTTACTGGTAAGCCTGAGCTGCTCCTCGAGCTTTTGGCGTGCAACGCGACGCTTGAGGATGCGGTGGAATTGCTTAGCGTTGACGTAAAGGGGAGATTCCTCAACGCCGCCGGCGGGCATCTCGGGGGACTGCGGGTGCTGCATGGCCTGGGCCTGGGACATCTGCGGTGGGGCAACGCCGGGACGCGCGCCGACGTGGTTCATCATTCCCTGAGCCGGGACGCCGGGGCTGGTGACCTGGCTGAGGCGTCGCTGACCACCGGGCAGCTGCGAAACGTTGTTCATCTGGGTCGGTGATCTAGGATCGCGGTTGGCCTCCTTCTTCGGTCCGCCCATTCGTGGTGAGGTTTGGGGCAAGCTGGGATCCGACATGTTGTAGGTGTAGTTCGTTCCCGATGCCGCTGCGGTCGCCGCCATGGCGGCGGCCTGAATCTGGGGCATGGCATGGTACATGCCCTGCTGAGGGACGTTGTACTGTGGCTGGTACATGTTGTGTCCCTGTGCTTGGGTAGGTGACTGTTGCTGGGTAGACAGAATAGGTGACGTCTGTACGCCGTGAGGAGAGGTGATGTTGCCGGAGGTGGAGTTGTTCGTGTATCCCGAGTGCGCGTTCTGTGGTTGTTGTGGGTATTGCGCGTATTCCATCATACTGGGAATAAGCCTGTTCCGAGAGTGGTCGAGCTGCGATGAAGCTGGTTGTCTTCGTCGCGATGTGCTCAGGACCAATGAGAAGCTGAGCAGGAGGATCTAGCTTAGCGACGGTTTCTGGCGTAGCGGTTGTAGTAGCGTGACCGCGGTCGAGAAAATTGGTTTCACGGGTATGGGTCGCGAGCGACGAATGAGTTGCGACGAAAGCTGCCTTTTTGATGAAAATTGAGCCTTAAAATGCTGGAAATGGCCCGTCTGCTTGGGTAGAGTTGGGCACACGCGTTGGGAGCGGGAGGTGGCCTAGGGTACTCTGCCAGTGTGCTGGGAGAGGAGGGGCTCAATCTATTGGCGATGCGTGGATGAGCTGGCAGTGGTGCGCGACGCAAGTGGCCGACCACGGCATATGCAGGCTGATGTAGTCGCGGGGCGGACGCTGGGTGGGTGGCTGAGCCTGGAGTGAGAATGACAGCCACGTGAGTGACGAAGGGTGCTGCTGCCGTGCAAGACGAGGCGGAGAGTCGAGGCGGCGGGCGGGATGTGTTTTTGTCGCTACCCGTTTAAGGGTTCTCTGAGGTGGTCCAGTCCGGGTTGACAAGAAGCTGGTCCTGGTCTTGGTCGATTTTGGCCTACCAGCTGCAATGCGGGAAGCGGGTAGTTTTGGACGAAACAGAACGGTCGGTGCCTTGTTTCCCCAGAAAAAGAGGCCGTTTGATTTTATTCCACTTCACGACTGAGATCTGTCCAACCATGAATGTTAGCTGCCTCTGTCCTCTCCAGGGTATTTGAGCCAATGCTCGGAATGATGCGACAAGAGATTGGTGGGGTGCTGCTCCTGGCTCCTGTCCAGTTCTTCTGCTCGCGCCTCGGGCCACCACTTGATGCGCTGGCAGACCTCGCATGCATGACGGAATATGCAGAGACAAGGCCCACCATGCCAACCAGCCCGGCAACACCTCCCCCTGCTGCGGTAGTGGTGGCGGCGCGAAGCCAGAACGCAGTCCAAGCTGCTGTGACAGTGCCCGTGCTTTGCGCCTCTTGAGGGGAAGAGCGTGTTTGTCCAGGCGCTGTCCTGAGTGTCTTGTGTCGCTGCCACCCGCCAGACTCCAGACTGGGCTCACTAAGCGCTTCTCCAAGAACGTACGTGCATCCCGCTGAGGCTGCAGTTGGGGTGGTTGGTAGGGTGTCCCTTTCAGTGGTGGTGCCGCCGCCGCATCATTCTCACCTTGCCTCACCCGCATGCCAACCGAGAGAGGGGGTGCTTCCAGAAGGCATAGAAGGCTTGGTTATGCGGGCGTGCGTCCAGCCAACATACAATGGGAATAATGGCAGCGACAGACAGCAGCAGGAGGTAACGTCAGAGGACGAAATGGTGAAATCGGCGGGGTGTNCAGCGACAGACAGCAGCAGGAGGTAACGTCAGAGGACGAAATGGTGAAATCGGCGGGGGGGCGCCGTCGCCGATGAGCAAAGGTGACGGACAGAAACAGAGACACGTTGACGTGGACAAGGAGTGGAGGAGGGGGGCACCGAGGATGGATGGTTACACCTCGGGGGGAACGGGAGGCCGTACAGATGCTGTGAAGGGCGGTGACAATGCGACACACAAGAAAGTACAATACACGTACCGATGAAGTTGTTGGAGATGCAATGCGGCGAAAGTGTGAGAGTGCGGGCGAGCTTGTGGAATCGCCGATGTGTGCGTGTGAAATGCCGTAAGGGAGGGGATTATGCGCTCTGCTCCAGTCAGTAAGCATGCTCTTGGTGCCGGTTTCAGAGAACGGAGAACGCGACGTGTAAGAGAGCGGAGGAAAGAAGAAAATAAAAAACAAAAAAATGAAGTCCGACAGGTGCCTACGCTACCAGCAGCAAGGTGTGTCGTCAAAGTTCAACGTCAAGATTGGTGCCGACACAACGGGTGCCAAGCGCCAAAACCGACAGAGAAGCCAGACCCTGAGGCAAGGTAGCGTGCAACGATGGGCAAATGACGGAGCGGGAAGCCAAAAGTGAAGAGGTGACGGCGCCCGTGTTCAGGACCGGCGACAAGGAAGCGCGCGAGCGGGCAAGGCTGGAGAGGAGGGGCGCCAGACGACTTGTGTCGAATGGCATGCGAAACGTACCTGGTTGGCTGGATTTTTTATTGGCTTTTGGGGGTGATTTTGGAGAATGGCTCCCGGTCTAAGTCGAGGCGAAGCTTTCTGATAGGCTTTTGACTCGAGTGTCACGATATGGGCTTGAGATCGCCTGCAAAAAAGCTTTGGCGCGTGCGTCTGCTTTGCCGTTGCGGGAAGGGCGAGAGGTGTGCGACGCGGTTGGTCTGTCGCGATGCGATGCGGTGCCGTGTGCGGAGCGGAGCGCTGCTGCTACTGCTACTGCTGGCTCTGCTGCGAGTTCGACAGGCAGGACAGGAAACAAACAGGAAGATGCTGTTTTCCGCAGGTCCAAGGCGTCACCTGATGGGCTGTCTGGGCCAATAGACAGGTGCAAAAAAGGCGTTGGCGACGATGATAGGTTTGCTGGTAGTTCCCAGTCGCGAATCGAGAGAATCCACGAATGTCTGGTAGGTAGGGAAAGCGCGCAGGCGATGGGAAGTGTCCAGTGCGAGCGACGAATGGTTGTCCAATGTCAGGGCGGGAAAGACGTTGACGTTGGAGAAAGTGCGCGGCGGTTGTGAGTGGTCGCAAGAAAAAGGCGAG